TCCTTAAATATACAACCCAGAGGTAAAAAAAAAAATACACAAGATTTTTTCATTTCTTGTTAAAACATGGTGTTGCGGTTTCTAATCATCGAGTCCCCTTATTCATCTTTTGTAGTGTTGGTGAGAAGGGAAAGAGGTTGCTTAATGGAAGAAAGGGAGTTAGGATCCCTGTGTGATACAATGAGACCTTACAAATTCCTCAGCGCAGAAAGAAATCCTTTAGTTTAATATTATGTATAAATTATTATAAAGATGCACATTCTAACAATGGGTTGGTAATAGGATAATAGGTCCGTCGCCTTCTTCAGCATCCAGCACCAATTTCCCTCCATAGTCTATTTTGTTTTCTCCACCTGCTCCCAGCTGCAACTCCCTTGCTCATCCAGCTTGAGTCTCTGCCCTATGCACACTTTTTTCTGCCTCTGAAACCAGTCTTCAGTTCCAGTTTGCAGTTTATATCTCACCAATTTTCACTTCTAACATCAGCAAGAAGCACTGATGAGAACACAGGGTCAAGTATCCAGATTCAGACCCAAATCCATCCCCGGCATAGCATGCAAAAGCAGTTAAACACTAGAAAAGATTTGTTCAGTGGACAGTATACTCAGCAAAGGCAGAATTGTCAAGGAATTTAGCAATTACAGTTGTTAAGAAATCAGACACCTACATTACTATGGGGAGCTTATTTGCATCATTAAGTGGTTCTTTTTTTTTATTTTGTTTTGTGAACTTGCCCTGAGGGCTATATTAAGAATGCAAACTATAGGGGCTCAATTTAGTTATCACATTTTAATTTTAATTCAATTTTAATTCAATAGCATGGAAAACTGTTGAAACATTCTACATAAAATGTTACCAATTTCCATATCTCAATAAAGTCAGCAAAGAAAAGCAACTATGTCTCTCAGAAGCCAGGTTCTTACAGCTGGTAGTTTGAATACAGTCTTGTGTTGCTACAAAAACTCTAATCCTCACTGCCAAATATTTATATTGTTATGCCAGAGATTTGAAAAGAATGTCACAAAGCATCTAATTTCTAATGTTTAAAAAACTACTCTAATACAAAAGCACATGCTGAAAGTAGGCACATTTCTCTGTCTGCAATACTAATCAAATACATCGCAGTAGGAACTGATTAAATTTTTAAAAAATCAAATATGCATTTTGCATATATGCTCTTCCCATTTTTGTCAGCACAGAAATGGTGAGTTCTTTTTCATTTGTTTCTTTGTGGGTTTAGTACTTCGTTCTTGCTATTTCTTGATTTCAGAAAACAAGCATTGAGAAGTACAAATCTGAAGCTGACACTGAGTTTGAAACTAACACAAGAGACAAATTCGGATTTCATCTTTTTTTTTGTCTCTTTTTTGCTTGTACCATAAACTGCAAGAATGTCTAAGTGCTGAGTGGCAAGCATGAATGCTAAAAACTTAATTAATCTATTTATCTAAAAAAAAAAAAAATCTATCTTTTGGGATGATGTACTGCTGTTTTGTGACTGATTTTACTAATTTCTACTAGTAAAACTGCAAAACACACATAGAAGGCAAGGTAGATCATTGCACTGCCAGTACCACCACTGCTTTGACACCAAATGGATAAAGTTCTTTGATTCCAAACAAATTTTGAACCCCATTACAACTCTTCGTTATATGTGCTATCCCTAGGTGCCAAACTTGGGAGTACAGCCAAGAGTTTGCTCAGACCAAGGCCACATGATTGAAGGATACTACATAATGGTCATGCCTGAAGCAGGAGTCTCGCCAGAAGGTGTAGCAGGATGAGCTACTCTAAGGGACCAAAATTTTAAAAAATATATAAAAATAAGAAAAGCCATGAAATACAGTTATTCTGTGCAACATACTTTCTTAATGTTCCCACAACACTTTGTTCATCACCTACAGTTGAGTCTTCCACTGGAAAACCTTAAAGAGAGATAAAAGTGAAATAACTACCAAGCTTGCTGTCAGAACAACTGGAAGCCTTCTTTTGGGGTCTACAAATACTCATGCTGAAAGAAAACAAACATTGTTAAAACAATCTTGCATGTTTGGACAACTTCAGTTGCAAAGTTTTATGCTTTAGCCATTTTATGTGGTTTGATACTGTCTATATCTTTCATAGGAACCATATGTAAAGAAAGTCAAATCACCTATTCTCAAATATTCAAACTTCTACAATGTTTAGGTATCCTGCAGTTTGTTGATAGCTGACTTAAAAGTACAAGTTTCCTACAGTCTAAAGTTATTACACAATTTTATAGGATTTACACTATTATTCAGAGCACTGCTTTCTTGTTGGTTGGAACTGAAATATATTTAATAATTTACTTTCAATAATCATGACACAAGTTGAAAGAAAATGCATCAGCACCAAATGAAAAAAAAAATCTGGCTTAAGTTCTCTAGTGCTTCCTGATTTTATGAATTAACATTAATTCCATTTCTTAAGATCTGAAGTCTTAAGGAAAAGAGTATGTGATGATAAGACTCCATTCTTTTCCTCCTTCATTTTTGGGAACTTTTGAAAGTGCCTTACCAGTGTTAATATACTTTTGGAAATGCTTATTCATTTTTTATCAGCAAATACTCTTCATTCACCCCTCTGATGACACATTGTGTCATGAGGCAGGAAAGCACCACGTCCAGAAAATAAAAAAATATTAGCACAGAACTGGAAGCTTGACCTTGAAGAGATACAAATAAAGAAACTACTTAAAGACAGTGCATAAACCAAAACTAAAAATAAAATCTTCAAAAGAAGGAGCTGAACGTGATCAATCTCCACTCCCTCTTCCTGACACAAATATTATGAATTAAAAATCTTAAGATTGCAAAGGTAAAACCAAATTGTGACTCATTCTAGTTTGCCAGCCACTGTGATCTGCTTAGGTAGCCCTTTGCTCTTCAATAAGAGTTTAACATTATTTTGATTGTTTGATCATAAGACTAAGAGCTACAAAAAAAATTGGATAGATTGTAAAGCCAAATAGAGCTCCACAGTCAGTTTGTCCAACATCTTCTACTCCTTAAGTCACGGAATAATATCTCCTTACTCCTATAACCCAATAACTTTTGTTTCAACACTGCAAACTTTTCTTCAAATGTTCCAAGATTCAAAATAAAATTACAAAAGTTGGCCTAACAGCTCACAAATACATTCAAGTCAAGGAATGTAGGTTTGGACTGAGATGCATATATGGAACTCAGCCAGTTTCTCATTTTCATTTGACACATAAAACAGATGGTCAGTGACCTCCTATTTTCCTATCTAACCTCCTCCATGGTTCTGTGCAAATATTATGCCATATATATTAGACAGACACAGAAACTGGTAACATTTGCTATTGATTTATAGCTGTGACCTAACACTTTTTTAATAAAAATCAAAATATAATTACATTTTTTCTAACTATTCCAATCTTGGAATAAATTTCATTTAGCAGCACAGATTATTAGTATGGTCCAAGAACATTCTTCTTGATCCTCACATAAGAAAATTGACAGCTTTAATTCTGGCAAATGGTGTTAAGGGATATAATTAATAGAGAATTCTATTCAGACACCTTCCTTGCTAAAGCAAAATCCTCATCAAGAAAAATGCATCTCTACAAAAGCATCATGTGATGTTGCAATAGGATATAAAATCAGGTGACTGTAGTCCCTTTCCTTGAACTGAAATAGGTCCAATAATACCCAGAGTGACTGAAAACAAAACAATCTGCCCATCGTAAAAAGAGGACAAGATAATTTAAGTAAGAAACAAAGGTTACTAAAGAGGACTTTTTCTAAAATGAAGAAAAACAATGAGTGCCCGAAAAATATATTAAAAAAGAAGCATGGTGTAGCGAACCAAATCCAAGAAAGAAAAGTAATGAAAGAAAAACAATTTTAAAAAACACCAGCTTGTGATTCAAGAATTGCTCTTTTCTCTCCCTTAACTTGCCTGACCATAAATTTAGGCTGCCAAAAGGATCTCCTGCCTCCATAAAATTTGGATTTTAAAATGGGGATTTTGCCATAGTAAGAGTTGAACGAGCTTAAGTCCTATATATACTACAGAGAAGTGATGACAGATAGAATTGAGTTAAAGAGCTGGAAGGACACTTTTTTAATATACTATTAATGATGCATTCATTTACAGTGCAAATTGCTGAAACGGAATTCCTTCACTCTCTACTGCAGCTGCAGAGTCTCAATATTTAACCACATTGAGAAGTTGTTTGTTTGTTAATTTCCCTTTGTAATATTTCAAAGTCTCCCCCTTTACACGTAAAATACCTGTTCAGATTAGTGTATCACTACACAATCTGATGAGTTTGCCTATTTGTGCCAGTTTGGTTTTCCACCATCCATGAAGACCTTCCATGAAGGCCACAGTTAGTATTTAGGCTATTCCACCACGCAGAAGGAGTAGATATTCAGCACTAATGCTCAAGTACAATATTCAGAATTAGCAGACAATAATGGAAGGAGAAAGGAGAGAGATGATTTGAAAATAAGAAGAGAATCACTTGTGCATTAGTCCCATATTTAATAGTGGTACATAAAAGAATATGCAGAATTACCCTCCAATGGAAGCTGCAAGCACTCATTTCATTACTATTTGATCAGTAACTTGAGAGCCACAGATGGAATTCACTATGGAAACAGGAGTGATTATTACGGAGACCAACCAAAGTAGAAGGGACACCTTCGTGAGCTTCCTTCGGTTTCTTTTTCCCAAAACACTTTTCAATAACACTTTCAGTGAAACTCTTACTGAAAGCTCAAGTTGGCATCTGGAAGTCCAGCTATCTACAAATGTTATTCTGTTTTGTATTGCTTTCCTATCTACCTCACTGGAAAAGCAGTGGAGAACCTGAGTCAGTTCTGTGACCCTGCAGGACTGAGAGCTAATGTGTCCTCCCAGGCACACCTGGGGACACTCTGGAACATGAACTGGGCAACTTCTCAGTCTTTTCTAAGACTCATTGCCTTTTAGGGGCCACTTCAACAAGCATGAACCCGGGACAATTGCACCTCACCAAGGAGACTCTTCAGACCATTCCCTTCAAGGACTGTGTACTAGCAGAGGTCAAGTAAAGAGAATGATGGAGAAGTATCTTCCTGGCTCTGGTACCAGTTACACCAGCAGCTCTGTACAGAGCCATTAACTAAAGCGACCCTTTCGAGATAATAATGCTAGAGTCGTGGGACTCAGAGCAGCCCAAAGCAGGGAAACCAGTGCTGCAGCTGCATGGAGCAAACAGTAGCTCCATCCAGATCCACCTCCTCCAAGGTCACCTCGACCACAGAGCTTCTTGCAGGCCCGTCTCTGATGACGGCAAGCGCGGCGGCACGTCTGTTGCTGCTCCCCGCCCATATTTCCCAGCGGAGCTCCCCGGGGTGGTGGGGGCCGGACTACGGCTCCGCTCGGGGTGGGCGCTGCCGAAGGGCGCGGGGATGCGGCGAAAGGCGGCCCCGGCACTGTGCTCGCCGCCCCACGGGGATGCGCGCAGCGGTGCGGGGGCGGGATCGTGCCTTGCTCCCCCCAGAGCTGCGGCCCCGGCCCGGCCCCGCCGCCCGCCTCCCTCTCTGCCCCGCTGTCAGAGCCGGCTGCCGCGGGGCAGCGGGGCACGGCGGGTGTGCGGCGTCTCCCTGCGGTGGTTGCTTTGGTACCGGGGCGGCGGCTGCGCCCCACGCGGGTTCCGTCCGTCTATCCATCCATCCATCCATCCGTCCGTCCATCCGTCCATCCCTGCGTGGGCGGCGGCTCGTGTATGTGTGTGACTGACAGTGCGGCGCGCACAGCGCGGGGCAGCCGCCCGCTCGCAGCCTGCCGGGGCACGGCGGCGCGCCCCGGCTGTGGCAGCCCCTTCTCCGTCCCCCGGAGCCCTCCCCAGTGGGGGCGACCTCAGCGGCCTCGCTGCTCGTCCTCCTCCTCCCTCCTGGCGGGTAGGTTACGTTACCTGGTCTCTAGCTCGGGCTGGATCTAATCTCGCGGCCGCCGCCGGCTCCTCTCCCTGCCGCGGGTGCGAGTGGGGGAATTAATTTATTTATTTTCCATGAGGTGCCCTCGGCAGCGGGAGAGCCCGGGCCGGGCGGCAGGGAGGGAGGCCTGGATGCTGCTGAGGGGCCGACGGGGCGCCCCTGTCCCGGGAGTGCTGCCGGGGAGCGGCCGAGACGCTTCAGCACCGGCGCGGGGGGGCGGGGGCTGCGGAGGAGACGCCTCTCGGGCTGCCCAACCCGGCTCCGCGGGGCCGGCGGGGGCGCGGCGCCCGGCCCGGGGAGAAGGGGATGGAGCCAGCGCCAGCGGGAGGTGGGGTGGGACGAGACGGTACGGGATGTACCGCGCCGCACCGGGCTAGGGAGGGCGGGCAGCGCCGGGCCCCCGCGCCACCTGGAGCCAGGCGTGAGCCCTCCCCGCCCACCTGCCCGCCCCGCGGCACCCAGAGCCGCTACGTTCTCCAGTAATTCTTTCCTTAAGGCCAAAATCCTGCAGTGAAAGAAATAAACATAAAATTGCATTATTAAAGCCTTAACCATCATGCCTATTCTTGTGCATAAAGGTTGCACATTATGTACAATACTTAAAATAGCGTGAGGAGGCTGGAATAATTAAGGTTGTTGACCCTGTGTCGCAAAATGTACAAAAGGAAATGAGATTGTCATAGTATTATATTTAAAAAAACAAACAAACAAACAAAACTTTATTGTATGCACTTTGTTAGTGAGAACTTTATGAATGGGATCTTCACAGGCGTGTAAAGGAACTGACACTGCCTGTGTATGGATAGAAGGAGAGAGAACTTGGGAATATTCTAGTTTGCTGAGCTGCTAGTGAAGGAGGGAAAGACTTGAACTTGTGCAGTTTATTTTTGTCTGTTTATTTTTCATTAATAACACTTGAATCCCTTAGCTGGCATCAGCCCAAAAAGTTTAGAAAAATAATCTGGAAAGGAGCATGTCACCCCTCAAAAAAGTGGCAACGTGAATGGCAATATCCATTACACATTCAAGATTGCATCCACAGAGGACTGCCATCTGAAGCACAAGTTAACAGAAATCAGGTTTCTTTGACTCCTTTTCTTATGAATCGGTTTCCTTTTATGTGAGAAGTGTTATTAATTTTTCTGTGTTTTAAACTATAATCAATAAAGACCTGGAGATACCAGTAATATAACATTTTATCCTTCCTTTATTCTTTAGGTTGTTGTTGTTATAATTTATGTATCATCTGCTTCCAGGGCAAGTTTTTCAGATTCAGGAGAGAATACTTTGTTACGTGTTTGTAAAGCAGCCAGGACTCTACAGTCTCTGGGCAGATTCTGGCACTGTACTCATAAGGAGCAGTAAGTAGTTCACTGGTAGAGACAGCAAACACTGTTCTTTCTGAAACAAACTGAACTGGAATAATTTTTTGACATTGCATAAACTGAGTAATACTTGAGTTACATATCTGAGTCCAGGAACATTTTTAGAAGCAAACATGGTGACTGACAGGGCAGCTTGTGTAAGTCGCAGTTACAATAATTTAGGTAGCAGTATCAGTCATCTCTTGCGCAAGTGTGTGAAAGGAGCCTGTGCCCAGCATCCTCACACCACAATATCTGTCCGAGCAGCAGGTTGCACTACAGGCTTTGGGGTCCACTAAGGGGCCCTCTATGACCCACAAGGGGCCCACTAAGCCAGTTGGAGGAAAGAAGAAATGTTAAGCTGTGACTCTTGGGCATGCAAGCAAAGAAAACTTGGGTACCAATGCCCATGACCAAACTCTTCTAGGCAGGCCCACAATTACAGGATTAAAAATGTGTAAATTATGATGAAATCTGATGAACAGTCTTTCATAGAAAAGCTACTAGTGCTGAAATGAAAGCCGTATACTTGGCATTACAGTAGTCTTAAGCTCTCCTATATATTTGAACACTTTGTGTTCCCTGAAGGAAATTGTAGGCCATCTAGGACGTCAGACAATTCCTGTAAAATGCCTAGCATGTCTACATTACCATTTACAGTGAAATATTACAGATTACACACTGGTTTATATAATGTTAAAAGAGTGATTTTCAAAGGGAGATGAAAATAAATACATAAATATAGAAATGATACCTCTTTTTCATTGCATATTTCTATTGAAAACAAAGGAGTCCAGGAGGGATGGACAGACTTCAAGAAGGAAGTCTTGAACGAACAGGAGTAGGCTGTCCCAGTGTGCAGAAAGGCAAGCCAGTGGGGAAGACAGACAGCCTGGCTGAATAGGGAGATTTTGAAGGAAATTAGGGAAAAAAGAGAGTTTACTGACTATGCAAAAAGGGCTGGCTACTCATGAAGAGTTTAGGAATATAGTTACATCATGTAGAAAGAAAATTAGAGAAACAAAGGCACAATTGAAACTCAATCTAGCCACTTTTGTTAGGGATAACAAGAAATGCTTCTACGTATACATCAAGAGCAAAACAAGGGGCAAGGAAAACCTCCATTCTTTGTTGGACATGGTGGGGAACCATGTCAAGTCACCAAAGATGCAAAAATGCTGAGGTACTTAACACCTTCTTTGCCCCAGTTTTCAACAGTAAGACAGGTTGTCCTCAGGGCAAGTGGCCTCCATAGCTGGTAGACAGAGACAGGAAGCCGAATATCCCCCCTGTAATCCAGGAGGGAACAGTTAGTCACCTGCTGAGCCTCGTGGATCCTCACAAGTCTATGGGACCAGATGGGATCCATCCTAGGGTGATGAGGGAGCCGGCACCAAGCCACTCTATCATTTACCAACAGTCCTGGCTCACTGGGGAGGTCCCAGATGACTGGAAGTTGGTGAATGTCATGCCCATCCACAAAAAGGGCTGGAAGGAGAACCTGGGAAACTCCAGGCCTGTCAGCCTGACCCCAGTGCCAGGCAAGGTCATGAAGCAGTCACACAATACCTACAAGATGGACAAGGGATCAGACACAGCCAGCACAGGTTTAGGAAGGGCAGGTCCTGTCTGACCAACCTGATTTCCTTTTATTACCAGGTGACCCACCTGGTGGATGAGGGGAAGGCTGTGGATGTGGTCTCTCTGGACTTCAGCAAAGCTTTTGACACTGCCTCCCACATCATACTCCTGGAAAAGCTGGCAGCCCATGGCTTGGACAGGTGGACTCTCTGCTGGGTCAGGAACTGGCTGGAGGGCCGGGCCCAGAGAGTGCTGGTGAACGAGGCTGCATCCAGCTGGCGGCCGGTCACCAGTGGTGTCCCCCAGGGATCAGTGTTGAGTCCAGTTCTGTTTAATATCTTTAGTGATGATCTGGATGAGGGAATTGAGTCCACCATGAGCAAATTTGCAGATGACACCAAGCTGGGAGGGAGTGTTGATCTACTGGAAGGCAGGAGGTTCTTCAGAGGAACCTGGAAAAGCTGGAGAGATGGTCTGATTCCAACAGGATGAGGTTCAATAAGGCCAAGTGCTGAGTCCTACACTTTGGCCACAACAACCCCCTGCAGCGCTACAGGCTGGGGATAGAGAGGCTGGAGAGCAGCCAGGTGGAAAGGGGTCTGGGAGTTTGGATTGACAGGAAGCTGAACATGAGCCAGCAGTGTGCCCAGGTGGCCAAGAAGGCCAATGGCATCCTGGCCTGCATCAAGAACAGTGTGGCCAGCAGGAGCAGGGAAGTTTCCCCTGTACTCAGCACTGGTGAGGCTACACCTCAAGTACTGTGTCTCAGTTCAGGAAAGACATTGAGGTGCTGGAGCGGGTCCAGAGAAGAGCAATGAGGCTGGTGAAGGGACTGGAGCACAATTCCTATGAGGAGAGGCTGAGGAAGCTGGGGTTGTTTAGCCTGGAGAAGAGGAGACTCGGGGGAGACTTCATACTCTCCACAACTACCTAAAAAGAGATTGTAGCCAGGTGGAGGTCAATCTCTTCTCCCAGGCAGTTATCAGTAAGACAGGAGGGCATGGTCTTAAACTCTGCCAGGGGTGGTTTGGGTTGGATATTAGGAAGAAATTCTTTACAGAGAGGGTAATCAGGCATTGGAATGGGCTGCCCAGGAAGGTGGTGAATTCACTGTCTTTGGAGGTTTTTAAGATGAGACTGGATGTGGCACTGAGTGCTATGGTCTAATAACCACGGTGGTGTTGAATCAAGGGTTGGACTTGATGATCCCAGAGGTCTTTTCCAACCCAGTTGATTCTATGATTTCCTCCACTGGTATGCCTTAACTATTATACTTATATAGACATAAATATATACTTTCTTAAATTTATAAATTTGTACAATGTATGTTATAGACAATAAATTTTACATAGTGATAGCTGTGATAAGGTAAATCACATACACGGCATTTGCTGTACTACATAGTACATGTATGCTATGTACATAGCTGCGTGCTATGTAAAACAGGTTACATACAACACAAATTGATGTATTCTGTACTTACAAATAAATTTTGATTTATTGTACTGCATATACTAATATCTATATAGATTATATTAGTCTATGTTAACCATTACATAGATGCACACATTTTTTTGTATATGCATATGTGCCTCATAGCTTCTTTCAATACCTCTTTTCAGAACACACTCTTTAGGAAACATGTATGCATCTTAATTGCCTTACTGTTTTCATTCAGCATCTTTCCAGTGTTGGTGCACCTTTGCTCTAGGAAGCCCATTATTGAAAGTAAAAATGTTCATAGCTACCCTCTTGGGGTAAGAATTAAAAATAAGCTGGATGCATTTATAACTGTGTTATTCTAGTGTACCATCTGCACAAGTTCAGATACAGTTTAGTGCCTGCAACTGCTTAAGGTCACAAAAATTACCATGATCCCTCAACCTAGAATTTGATGTATGAATTTATTTTTTATTCTGACTTTGATTGCAGTGACATCAGGTTTTTAAAGTGAATACAGTCCTCTTACAGTTCCTCTGTAGAATGAGGGCTCTGAAGTACTTTGATTCCCTGTTGTAGATTGAAAAAAAACCTGTTGTCATTCAGCATCTTTCCAGTGTTGGTGCACCTTTGCTGTAGGAAGCCCATTACTGAAAGTAAAAATGTTCATAGCTGCCCTCTTAGGGTAAGAATTAAAATTATTTGAGTGATAGCAATTAATCATTTCTGAGTGAATTTCTAGAAGCTACCAAAGGTTCAGAGCTGGTGCCTGTGTCCATGTGTCTCTCTATGGCAATGTGGCATTCTGTGTTTTTCAGTGAAATAATTGTAAGGAAGAAAATAAACCACTTATCTATTGTTTGTGTGTATGAAAAGAGTCACACATGTAGTTATTCATTTTGTCCATTCAATAGTGTGAGAGATTTCTGTGAGATTGCATGTTAAACACTCTCGTTTTGGTTGATTACAGCTTGAGGTCTTTTTAGTGATATTAACATAAAAGATTTGTAAGTATTATTTTTCACTAGAGAAAAAGAAAATGCTGCAAGCATTGAATATATGATGGTATTTTCTGTAAGTCTGTCCACTAATTGTTTGGATAAGTCCTCTACTAGAATAGTCCGTTTCCCCCACATGCCACTTGTTTTAGTTGAAACAAGAATTTTACAGGTCATCTGCTGAGCTCTGCTACATCACAGGTTATGTCTTCTTGTTACAGAGTTTGAATCTAAAGGGTGCAGGTTTGTGGTTGTGTGTTGTTCTGGCCTACACAGGATTACATTCTGATTATGTTCTGTTTTTTTCTTGATTGGTTTTGGTTTAATATATACCCAACTCAAACTTCTCTCATGTCCATGAGCAGGTTGCTGGGGTGCACATTCTTTTCATTTCTAACTGATACACAGGACAGTGTTATGAATATTATACTGGTGAATCATATAGGCCACCTTCTGTGAGCTTTATATTAACAACTAATAAACATTAACCTGTGTCTCACTCCACCCTCATTCATCCACACAAATAGCTCTGTCATTACTGTAAAACTTAATCATAGTCCTGTTAGTGAACGAGATACATATACTTCCAGTTTTGTGATAGGATTCATATAAATATGATTAGGGTGTAGAATTCTAACGATAATGTATAGCCAAAGTATGTCTTTCTGTTGAGGTCAGTTTTCTCTATAACCATCAACCATGTCTATTCTAGGCCCAATAAAATTCTTCTCTTTTACAGCTCACGGTGACAGAGAACACAGCACGTTGTAACTACAGAAATAGGCTCAACTGTGAAAGATCTCTATCAAGCCTCACAGAGAATTTGAGGCAGCTGGCAGTTATCAGCTGAAGCAGGTAGTCAGTAGAAGCCTAGAAGATAAATAGATAATTGAAAACCAATCTGGAAACCTGGGAGAGGTAATAAGCCTCTCTTCTAGAGGGGAGGCAACTGCTCAGGTAGGTCATTGATGAAATCAA